TTCGCGATCCAACTGATCAAGTACCGAACGCACGACACCTCCGCGATCTGCACACGTTCAGCTCGGTGACGTCCCTCGAACTCTAGATCCAGCTGAGGCCGAGGGAGAGTTCCGTCAGCACGATGGTGTGGTGATGGTGATGATGAAGTTACCGGCGCAGGGCTTTGCCTAAACACTACGACGATATGACTGAGGTGGAAACCTATGGAGGGGGCATCGCACATGGCTAAAAGATCAACTTGATCAACTTGTGTGTCTATGGGGTGCCGCCCCTCCTCCGTATATAAAGGAGGAGAGGGGAGGTCGGCTGGCCCTCCTTGGTGCGCCCCCAAGAGGGGAATCCTACTAGGACTCCAGGTCCTAGTAGGTTTCCACCTAAAGAGAGAGAGGGGGGAAGGAAGGAGAGGGAGAGGGGGAAGGAAAGGGGGGCGCCCCCCCCCCCCTTCCTTGTCCTATTCAGACTCAAGGAAGGGGGCATGCGGCCTGCTCTGTCTGCCCCTCTCTCTCTCCACTAAGGCCCATCGAGGCCCACTAGTTCCCCGGGGGGTTCCGATAACCCTCCCGCACTCCGGTTTTATCCGAAACTTCTCCGGAACACTTCCGGTGTCCGAACATAGCCGTCCAATATATCAATCTTTATGTCTCGACCATTTCGAGACCCCTCGTCATGTTCGTGACCATATCCGGGACTCCGAACAACCTTCGGTACATCATATCACATAAACTCATAATACCAATCGTCATCGAACGTTAAGCGTGTGGACCCTACGGGTTCAAGAACTATGTAGGCATGACCGAGACACGTCTTCGGTCAATAACCAATGGCAGAACCTGGATGCTCATATTGGTTCCTACGTATTCTACGAAGATCTTTATCGGTCAAACCGCATAACAACATACGTTGGTCCCTTTGTCATCGGTATGTTACTTGCCTGAGATTCGATCATCGGCATCATCATACCTAGTTCAATCTCATTACCGACAAGTCTCTTTACTCGTTCCGTAATACTTCATCCCGCAACTAACTCATTAGTCACAATGCTTGAAAGGCTTATAGTGATGAGTATTACCGAGAGGGCCCAGAGATACCTCTCCGAAACACAGAGTGACAATCCTAATCTCGATCTATGCCAACCCAACAAACATCTTCGGAGACACCTATAGAGCACCTTTATAATCACCCATTTACGTTGTGACATGTGGTAGCACACAAAGTGTTCCTCCGGTATTCGGGAGTTGCATAATCTCATAGTCTGAGGAACTTGAAGTCATGAAGAAAACAGTAGCAATGAAACTGGCACGATCATAATGCTAAGCTAACGGATGGGTCATGTCCATCACATCATTCTCCTAATGATGTGATCCTGTTCGTCAAATGACAACACATGTCTATGGTTAGGAAACATAACCATCTTTGATTAACGAGCTAGTCAAGTAGAGGCATACTAGGGACTATATGTTTTGTCTATGTATTCACACATGTACTAAGTTTCCGGTTAATACAATTCTAGCATGAATAATAAACATTTATCATGAATTAAGGAAATAAATAATAACTTTATTATTGCCTCTAGGGCATATTTCCTTTAGGATTGGGATCAAAATAATCTCTCATAATCTTGGCATGGCCCTCCGCTCTATCTTGGTTGATGTGTATACGACCGAATTGTGAATATCCATTTCAAAGTCCATCGTCTTCTTCTTCCTCCTCCTCCTTTGAAGAATAGTCCTTGAAGATCATTTCTCTCAACCTCTTCATCTTGACTAGAAATGGCTCGGTTCAATTCAATTCACAAAAGAAAAATGAGATGAAAAACACACAAAAACTCACCTAGGCAAACCGTTGAACACTTGAAAGGTGGTTGAGGTGTCACAGCCGGACGACGATGTTGAGCAGATATTAGCGGTCGGGGGGCTTCAAGATGGCCGGAAGTGGATGGATAGGCTCGGAGGAAGAAGACCCGAGCCTCTTTCCGGTGATGGGATTGATGCAGCGGCGGAGGCGTTTGAGCTTGATTCCTATGACTGCAACGACCGGTGACCGACTCTGAGTCGGGCGGAAGGGTGGCGAGGGTGAAGGGAGGCAGTAGGGTGTCGGCGGAGGCGGTGAGTTGTCGCGGGAAGCAACGCCGGCGACGATGCAACGCACGGCGGGGACGATAGGGCTTTGTTTAGATCAACTCTAGCCGATCCCCTAAAATTTAAAGGAGTAAACGACCGAGTATCCTTTAGAGGAGTACTTTTGCTCCTCTAAAAATTAACCATTTCTAACTGATCCCCAATACTCATAGGAGTATTTTTTTGTCTAATTCATTTAATTTTCGACCATCGAAATAAATTCACTACTATATTACTTTATTAAACGACATATGGACATATGGTTACATACTTCACCAATTCTTCGCTAAGAGAACCGATCCAAAGAAAACTACAAGAATAATTAGACACTTTAATAGAAATCCAAGTGCCCTAACTGCTCCTACTAGTCCCATTAATACTTTCTCTATGTCTTCATTGCCAACATTGTTGCTTTTCTCTATCGGCTTCTTGAGCATGCACCCTTCATTCTTCTCCGCCTTCACATAATTGGACATTGTGTCGTCTCTAGTCTCCACTCTAACAAATTTCTCCCTATCAATAGATCAATATACTCTTTTTCCCAATACCTAAACTTGCATTCACCCTACATAGAATTTTGAGCAAACAATAAGTTCCAAATTGCAACGAACCCGAAGTACAACCGTACAAATAGGCACTCACCCCGTCCTTTTCGCACTTGTAGAACACCCATCCTAGATCTGCTGATTTAGGCGCCGCCGACGGTGAGAGGGGACCAAATCGGTGTGGGGAGGAGCACGGCGAGTCCTACGGAGGGTCGGCGGTGACGTAAGAAGGGAGAGGCCGAAGTGGAGACGCGAAGGTGGTGGGCGGTCGAGTAAATATATGAGTTCACGGTGCCGAGAAGTATAATTTGTTCTCGTCTAATGGTTATACGGGTTCGACTAGGTGCCAGAAGAATAGTGAAATTTATCATCCGCTATCAATCCTTCTCTCACACTCATAGTGATCGGTTAGAGATGCCCTTATATTCTTCCTACGAGTATATTCCACCCTGAGTGATGCTATACTACGACACATCTGCGTCCGTATATTCAAAAATCGTAGGCGGTGTAGCAGCTCCGTTCCACTTTTTACTCCCTAGTTGACGTTTACCTTGCTTTTAAAACCGTGACCGCGCGCATTTTCCTCCAGATTTTACACTTGCGTGGCCTTGAACCTTCGCGCGATCTCCAAGATCTACGAAATTTAATGCGCTAGCAAATCACCCACAATATATAATCCTGTAAACAAGTGATATGATATCCTCATGGACGTCCGATCTATCTGCTGCTGCTGGCAGCGTGGCCGTACGCACTAAACTAGTACCGAGCTAGAGAAATAAACAAGGAAGATGAGGCGACTAAAATACGGAGCAGCAGCATCCCACTTGCACCCATCCATCCGTCCATCGATCTACCCCCACCCCCCATGTCATCCGCCGCCCGTAGTTATTCGTCCCGCTGCGCCTGCTACCACCTCCCAACCACTCTCCCCCCACCACCGTCGCCTCCTCCTCCTCCTCTTCGCCGTCGAGTCTCCCCACCAAATCTTTTTCATGGTCATCGCGTCCCCCGGTCTCTTCCTCGTCCTCCCGTTCCTTCAGGTGAGGTGGCCACGCCCGTCTCTTTTCTTATCCTGTCCGGGCCGTCCTCCCTCCCTCTTCCCCTATCCGTGTACGGATCTTTCTTGCTGGTTCGGCTAGTTTCCTGGTTTGCTTTACCTATTTCTGTTCCGTGTGGTTTTTTAAGCGAGGTGAATTTTGTCTTGGCTCTTGCTCCAGCAGTTAGCTGCCGTTTTCTTGTTCCAGCGAATTTTGCGTCCGGCTGCCCTCTGCTCCGAACGTTTTGTCAAATTACGCTCGAATTAAGCAAGAAAGGGACGATGGGGTTAAGTTAGCCGGTTTGTATCTTGGATGTCCTCGCTGGCATGGTTCAGCTGCCTCGAATTCTCGCCGCAATGGAAATGTGTAGAATTAACGGAGCGCAGTTCTTTACTAGTAAAGTCTAGCTAGTACGCGCCTCACTCTGTTCCAGATTAATTAGAACTACTCTACTTTGTTTCAAGCAGACGAATACAGAAATAGAAAAGGATAGTGATGGATATTTTACCCATTTTGTGTTCATTTTCAGTGAAAAACGCCGGCCTTTCTCCAACTTTTGTTGTTATATTAACTGCTGTGCTTTCCCATTACTTATTGTTATCTGTATGTTTTTGGATGCAGGATCCTGTCAAATGTTTGTACAGGCTTTGAAGAAACCAACAAGTAGCTCGATCAGAAATCATTCGCGCCTAAGGTACCACACGGAGCTCTCGTCCAATCATTCTTATTAGCAGTACCATGATTTCTTCCTGTGGTACAAGTCCCTTAAAGCATATGTTTGTAACTCTGAATCATGGGAGTGCTATGCCATCAGCGTTTGTTCACCTCATTTCTTGTGCAAAAGGCTACGGTGCGAACGTGATTGGCTAATTCATACTGGAAGTCATGAAAACGATGTGGATTGGTTTCTTTCCGTGAACAAAAGGGGAGGGGGGCTATCATGCTTTACACTTTTCCCAGAAAGTTACCGGGCAACACGGCTTCAGTATCAAGATCAAATAGCTGCGTTACTTTGCACATACAAATGTGGATTCCCCGAAAATACGCGTAGCTTGTAACCGTTATCAATCCCTATAGTTGTTGTAACAAGACATTTTGTCACCTGTGCTAGAACAATTGTTAGTGGAATTTTCCACCTTGCTAGAACAGTTGTTAGTGGAATTTTCCACCTACAGCTGTTACAATATGGAGACTGCCCACCAGCAATTCAATATCTAATTTTGCTCTATTGCATATGAAACTACTATTTCCTATACCCACTGAGATTGTAATTGTCTTGCGAACATTTCAGAGGACGTTAATGACTGGATGGTTTTTGAAGACTGCCAACTGGAAGAGCTCACCTTTCATACACATGAATGCACGGAGCAAACGTCGCGGCTCTTCATTATGCTTCATTATGCTGTGGATGCTTGTGTTACCCAACCTCTGGATAATATGCAGCGGCAGTATTCAGAAACACGTTCTCCTGCCAGGGTTCAGTGGCTCAGAAATGGATTACATTGATAACAATGGAATATTTCTGCTCTCTAATGGAACGGTGTTTGGCTTTGGTTTTGCCAGCAGCAGTGCGTCAGAGAGCACATCCTACCTTCTTCAAGTGCTCCACCTGGGCACCAATACCGTCATCTGGACTGCGAATGCTAACTCTCCTGTTTTGCATTCGGATAGCTTTGAGTTTGACAAGGATGGCAAGGCCTACCTGCAGTCTGCAGGCTCCAGTGTCTGGACTGCCAATATCTCTGGCAAAGCCTCCTCTATGCAGCTGCTGGACTCCGGCAATCTTGTAGTGCTCGGCGAAGATAGCTCTTCTCCTCTGTGGCAGAGTTTCAGCTATCCAACAAACACACTTCTGTCTGGCCAAAGCTTCAGTGATGGTATGACACTTGTGAGCCATTCCACCCAAAAGAACATGACACATACACTTCAAATCAAATCCGGGGACATGATGTTGTACGCAGGCTTCCAGAACCCCCAACCATACTGGTCCGCACTGCAGGATAATAGGCTGATCGTTAACAAGGATGGCGCCATCTACTCTGCGAGTCTCAATGCAACTTCTTGGTACTTCTATGATAAATCAGGGTCTCTTCTATCACAGTTCGTCATAACGCAGCAGGGTGATGCCAACACCACTTTAGCTGCTGTCCTCGATGAGGATGGGTCGATCGCCTTCTATATGCTGCAGAGTGCGAATGGCAAGACTAATCTGCCAACCCCAATCCCACAAGACTCGTGTGACACGCCAACCCACTGCAAACCATACTCTATTTGCAATAGTGGGACAGGATGCCAATGCCCTTCAGTCCTCGGCTCCTCTCCAAACTGTGACCCTGGTCTCACATCATCTTGTAAATCAAAAGAGGCGTTTCAGCTGGCTCAACTGGAAAGTGGAGTTGAATATATCGGTACGAGCTTCACCTCACCTGTGGCTAAGACAAACATCACAGGTTGCAAGAATACTTGCATGGGAAATTGCTCATGCATCGCCGTCTTCTTTGACCAAAAAACAGGCAATTGCTTCATTTTTGACCAGATTGGTAGCTTGCAGCAGGAAGGTGGAAATAAAACTAATTTTTCATCTTTCATCAAGGTATCTAGCAGTGGCTCAGGGCAAGCTGGGAGTGGCAGTGGCGGTGGAAACCACAATATCATTATTGTTGTCATTATAGTTGGAACTTTGGCTGTCATCGGTGGCCTCATTTATGTCGGTTTCTTCATTTATAGGAGGAAGAGGTATCCTCCGTCCTCACAAGATGAGGCTGGTTCATCGGAGGACGATGGATATCTGCAGACAATATCTGGAGCACCAGTGCGGTTCACTTACAGGGAGCTCCAGGATGCAACAAACAACTTCTCTAACAAGCTTGGCCAAGGAGGATTTGGATCTGTATATCTGGGAACACTCCCAGATGGCAGTCGCATCGCTGTAAAGAAGCTGGAGGGAATAGGTCAAGGGAGGAAAGAGTTCCGCTCCGAGGTGACAATAATTGGCAGCATCCACCACATCCATCTAGTTAAACTCCGAGGCTTCTGTGCTGAGGATTCACACAGGCTTCTTGCATATGAATACATGGCGAAAGGGTCACTTGAAAGGTGGATCTTCCGTACCAAGGAGGATGATCCCCTTTTGGACTGGGATACAAGGTTTAATATTGCACTTGGAGCAGCAAAGGGATTGGCATACCTCCATCAAGACTGTGAATCGAAGATCATTCATTGCGACATCAAGCCTGAGAATTTCCTGCTTGATGACAACTTCCTTGTGAAGGTATCTGACTTTGGCCTTGCCAAGTTGATGAGCAGGGAGCAGAGCCATGTTTTTACGACGATGAGAGGCACGCGGGGCTACCTCGCGCCCGAGTGGATCACCAACTACGCCATCTCAGAGAAGAGCGACGTATACAGCTACGGGATGGTTCTGCTTGAGATTATCAGCGGGAGGAAAAACTTTGACCCCGTGGAAGGCTCAGAAAAGGCCCATTTCCCGTCCTTCGCTTTCAAGAAGCTGGAGGAGGGCGATCTTCGCGAGATCCTTGACGCCAAGCTGATGTACAACGACAAGGATGAGCGACTGGAAATCGCGATCAAGGTTGCTCTGTGGTGCATCCAGGAGGATTTCTACCAGAGACCGTCCATGTCGAAGGTGGTTCAGATGCTCGAGTGCGTCTGCGACGTGCCCCAGCCACCGATATCCTCACAGATCGGATATAGGCTCTATGCGAATGCCCTCAAATCGAGCAGCGAGGAGGGCATGTCGTCGGGTATGTCGGACTACAACAGTGAGGCTCTGCTTTCAGCAGTGCGGCTCTCTGGTCCTAGATGACAGTATGAATGATGTGTATATTAGTGTGTTTAGTTAGGATGTTGGTGTTCAATTTTGGGGTAGGGCCTGTTGATTTGGTGATCATTTGTTCACATTGATGTCATGTACATATGTTGATCATTATTTCAGGTGGTACTTCTTTTTTATAATAGTTTTACCAGATGAGGTTTGTTGTGGAAATTAATATATCTTTTTGCCAGATTTACTTCTTTATAAGCTATAATTAATTTTCTACTTTAAGAATACAGAACTATCAGCTTAGGACTCCTTGTGTACTCAGATGTCTCTCTAAAAGGTTTTGGTAAACCTGTGGCATATTCTGATCTTCTCGCTGTGTGATCTACTTATATCAAAAGTTTCACAAATAATGCTAGTGTATATCCACTGTTTCAGAGAAAATCAGAAGAAACCATCTTCCAAAGCAAAAGATGGATCTTCACTGAATGATGGGATATCCATTACATACATCTGATCAATGGGAACTAGTTTTCACCTGCATCAACAGAACTGCAGAACTATTGCAGGGAAAGAGAATGCTTGGTTTTTTTTCCAGTTCCAGGTCCACAGCACCAAACATGCTTATGCAGGAAAACTCCAAGGCGTCATCGCCATGCTGCCTATCGAAGGGAATTTTATGTCGCCTTTCTTACCAACCTTCTGTAAGAATCGATGGCTGATCACGGCAAGAAAGAAAGATGCGACGAACTTCTTTCAGGTCCATGCCGCTGAGGAGCTGTGCTGCTTCCTGCGCCTGATACACAGCTGCAACAGCAGCATGCAGATGAAAGCACCTGCCTGGATGGTCTCAAACTTACCATGGCTGACCATGATATAGCAGAAACTGATATGAACTAAACATTTGCCATCCTGCGCCGTTACCATCAATTGAACAGGAAATCAGTCGCATGTGTAGCATTTCCTATTATGTTACACAATTCCGCTGTTACTCATGTACTACAACTAGTTTTACTTTGCAAAATATTGCATGTAAAACTAAACTCTTTCATTTAGTTTCTCAATTGTACACTGAAGTTTGTCTTGAACAAGCCAAAACAATCGATTTAGCCTGTCCTTCCAAGGGATTCAGAGATACTATCCGCGCACCGTTATGCGGGCGGATCACAAAAGGATGAACATGATCACAAAAGCACCGATAAGGCAATGGGCTCTGAGGGGATATCACAAGACAGCAGTCCGTGCACGCATTCCGTGTCTGGTCATTTTCATCGTAGTGCTGATCTTTAGCTCGCAACAGGTTATCGGAGAAGGAAGCTATCCAACGGCTTCTCAAACGCGAGGAGAAGGCTCAGGAGCAGAAAGGGCATCAGGAATATGAACATCCAGATTGTGTTGTAGCTGTACACAGTGCTTGGGAAAGAGGGGAGGGGTCTGAACTTCCCTAGCTCCTCTAGCAGATCTCCGTGATCCCGGAAAAGAAGTAAAAGCTGCAGTTCGAGCAGGATGTATCAGACTAGTTGGATTTATAATGAACCGACAGGCTACAGATTACTATTGGATGCGGGTAAGAGGTGGGTCGCGATTGTGGTAGTACCTCGTTGTAAGCTTCCAGAGGGATCTGATCACTCCGGGTGAGCACATTGAGCAGCGACAGGTATAACAAGTAGTCACGAGCCTGTATAGAAGACATGATGCAATGTAAGTTAAAGGCTTGACTTAATTGAATTGAAGTGTTTTTGTACCAAAGAGTTGGTTCGATCAAATATGAGACAGGAGCACAATATGCATGCAACAGCCATGATTTTTATTTTGGTAAGGAAAGATGTTAGAGAAGCCCATATAGTATAACAAATAGGAACCCACATTCGAGTTTGTGAGGACTTGAATCGATGTGGTGGGATCGTGCATCAACTCACACAACCAAGTGATTTAGGCTCACTTCGACCCCCTGATGGTCATTTATTTCAGATGTTATATTCCACACGCCCAAAGAAACATCAAGAAGTCCTAGTAGTGGAACATATCAATTGACTCCAGGCTTAGGTCAGCCAAATACAAGAGTGCAAGAAAATTTGATAAAGGCATTTTTTTTTACAGTGAAGTGTTCAGAAGTTATGTGACCGTAAGAAATGATTGCTACACTAAGCGACCTGATGGATACTGTGCGTTACTAGAAACTGTCCATGCAGAACAGTTACACACGACATAGACATTTAGCTTCACTAAAATTCCTTTATCTGAACCCTTTCCCACATCCAAGTTTCTCCAAAGCAATCGTGTGTGTTTTTATTTTTGTCAATTCATATACACTAAATTTTCCTTATAAAGAAATTGCTTTGTGAAATTTCATAAAACGTGAGTTTTGTTGTCATACATGCACAAAAACCAATGTTTCTTGGCTAGTCGCACATATAGGGCAGCCCGGTGCACGTAGCTCCTGCTTGCGCAGGGTCCGGGGAAGGGTCAAAACCCAAAGATCTACCTAAGCATTTCATTCTGCAGCCTACATCACAAATATTTCAAACCACAACTGCCAGTTGCTCAGTGGAATACAGCTTGTTCTCGCCAGATTCCCAGCATATGTGCTAGATCAACTCAAACTTACAGCAATGCAGAAAGTAAAAACCCAAGACACAAAGAACATATTTATGTGAAAGGTATCAAGTCTGATGACCTCAGACAGATACAGTATAAAAATAAATATTACAGCCATAAATCAAGTGAGGAATACATCATGCATGGAGTAAGATATTTTGTTATTTTGTTTGATTAAATCTTTCTTTTTCTCAGTAAAAAATTAGCTCCAACGCAGGTGATCTGAAGAGGGAAATACATATTTGCATTGTGCTTTGCTGGCAAGCATGGACTCAATCTATGTACACCAATGATTGCTGACAACCTTTTCTTTTGAGAAAAGGGAAGCATGAACAGTTTCAATTAATTGCTGACAACTTGCAAGGCACACAGGACACAAATCATTGAGAAGGAGGACACAAGAAAGTTTCTTGGTATGCACTCTAGACAATGAACAGTACTCTAGAGTCTAGGCGAGAACTGTCTCTCACTCCACAATTTTTTTGCCAATATTAAGAACACTATTTTTTTCGCCGAATATTTAGAATATGAAGCATGTGCTTTTGCATCCCTATTACGGATATATCACTGTTATGACAGAAATGCAATATCCAAGCAGCTAATACTAAAGATAGGGTTTGTTGGTTTGATCCTAAGTCTACCTTACAAGAATTTGGTTACAAGAATTTTCTTGCTCGGGATTCGGCCAATTTAAGCAAAAGAATTGTACCACGGCAACTAAAGGGGCATGTGTATTCCAAAAAAGTGGAAACCATACAGACATTGGCCAAATATTACCAGGGCCGATTATTGGCAGAGTATATTTTGGCCATGAACCAAACATACTCATAGTGCCCTGTCTATGAACACCGAGAAGATTCGCAAGTCACACTGCATGTCTTTTTATACTATTATCATTTTGCGAGGAAGCATGGTTCAAAGTTTCATTAATAAAATTTCTCACCTTAACCCTCTTAACAAAGCTAAGAGATTCCTCAAATGTGACAGGTTCCCACTTAGACATGGAGCCCCGACAGCTCAGGACCAGACCCTGGATTGCCTTTAAAGACACAAAATTCCACAGATTACTGCAGGTAATGATCAGATAATGTTAAAGTTTATATTCCACTAGAGAAGAGAGAAAGCAAAATGCACACACCCAACTTGCAGCTTCACAAAAAAGATGACCCTAAATAGTTCCTTTAAAGAAATATAACGAAATAATTGTACAATTTCTACTAAAAATAGTGCCTTTTTACATCATCAGAAGTTCAGAACCAAGAGAATACAGTTTGTCGACAATTACTCGAGAGCAGAACCAAAACTCACAAGATTTGATTTTAAGAAAAGAGAACGGGAACATTAGAGCTCACAAAAGGTAAGCATAATAACTTTGTCAACACCAAAAATCATTTTAATTATCCTGCAGTGTTCAATTTTCCAGGTAGAAGAGATGATATTCTGCTGGCAGCGATTGGAACAAAACAGTTTATTCTGACCAGCTCCATGGTCAAAATTCACAAGGCACAAATATCATCCACAAACAACAGGTACAGATTTGGGGCAGTCGCCAGGACAAGTAATTAATCAACAAATCAGGAAGCAAACCTATAAACAGGATATAAACTGCAGTTATCAGAATCAGATGAACGCATTCTTTTAGGAGCGGTGATCAAGAACGAGAACCAGACCACCAAAATCCATCTCTAGGCAACGGAGTGAGGGTTCTCGGAAAAAAAAGGAAAGGTTCTTTCTCACCTGGAACAGACAAGAAATGGATGAGATTGGGAGTCACTGCGAACAGCTTTTCATCCGAATGAGCGAGCCCTTTGGAATCCGTCAGGCAGACAGGCGAGAAGAGAAGGATTAGGTTGGAGATGGCAAAAGGGGGAGAGGAGGGGAGACTAGAGGAAGGAGGCTGCGCAACAGCAACTGGGCGGGGTGGCAGCTGGGGGTTGGACTCGAGCGAAGTTGGGGGCGAAAGCAGAGACCGGGAGGGCGAAGGGGGCAGCTGCTGGGAGTGGGAGCGAGAGAAAATATGCGGTGAAAAAAGTTACAGTGAAAAATAGAGGCGTGTTTGGTTGCCATCAGCTAGGCTACGGTACCTGCGCTGCATACCCTTTCTACTCAGCCTGGCTCTGAAAAAACAACCTCATATGTAACATCTGCAAGTTGTTTGGTTGTCTGCATATGAACTTCCTGCATTATGGGATCAACTTTGGCACGTTGTTTGGTTGCCTGCATTGTCTCGTCGCATACAACTACACACTATTTGGTTGGCCGCATGTGGTATGATTAAGAGCTAGTACTTGCACTTAGCACACAGGGTTAAGAGCTAGCAGAGGAAGGGGGAAAAGAAATGAGTGTGCGCCGGACCATGGCGACTGCGGTGGATAGTGGTCGTGGCGCCGTGTCGACATGACGAGCATGGAGTCGTGGGCGAGCGACCCCGTCGGCGGCACGACGAG